AAATAAATAAATAAATAAATAAATAAATAAATAAGCAAGCCTAACAGCACTCAACATAATGCAGGGTGACACCAGTCCTGGGTCCTAGTGACATCAGGACAATGTAGACTCCATCATATATGGAACTGAGAGACCCCAGTGAATATCTGCTATTGCCACCTTCTGTGCATGGGTACCTAGGAAGCCTCAGGAAATACCAGTGAGATCTGGAGGTTCAGTAGGCAAAGCCTCTACGGTGGGAAGCAGCCTGGACTGCTGAGCCCCTAAGAAGAGAATGCAACCACCAGGATCCCAGGGATGGGCACCCACTGAGCAGAGCACACGTCCCTTGGGGACCCACTCAGCACAAAGGAACCTTGGAGTCTATGTTCTTAACCAGCCTTCACCTAAATTCACCCCAACACAGACATTCTGGATTATTCAGAAGAAAATCTGTCAAAACTGCTGGTGCCTAGAAGCAATGGTGACATGTCGGTGTACGCCTGTAGTCCTAGCACCGAGGGGAGCTGCAATAGGAGGACAAGTTCCAGGCCCACCTGGACAACTTACTAACACCCTATCTCAATATTAAAAAAAAAAAAAAACCCAACAACAATAAAAGAGGCACAGAGACACAGGCCTATAATCCACTACAAACATGAGCCCACCCTAGGCAATTTAGCAAGACCCCATCTCAAAGTGTATGTGGGCGGGGTAGTGAAATGCAAAGACCCTACTACTGCAAAATAAACTGGGGGAGACTGGGATGTAATTCAGTTGTTAGAGCACCCCTAGGTTCAAACTCCAAGACCAAAACAAGCCATGGTGTGAAACACACCTGACAGAGGTCTGCAGTCTCACAGACAGGCAGGCACAGGCTGCACCTGCAAGCACACCTGGGTCACTGGTAACACAGACAGCCCAGCTATCCCCTGAGGGGCCAGCAGGAAGCCTGCCGAAACATCAACCGTCTATACTGAAAGGGTGCTGCACACAAACCCCATGCCAGTTCAGGAAAGAAAGTGAAACCCTTGAGGAAACACAAGCTTCGGCCTCACCCAAAGTGTTCTGAAAAAAAAAAAAAAAAAAAAAACCTTTCAGAGGCTAAGGAAGAAAA